AGCGACTTGCAGGCTTCTCCGTCTTCTTCGCGGACTCCGGCTTGGACACCGAAGGTCCCGGATCCTTGGGAATCCGTTCTCTTCCTAAGTTTGTGAGCGCCTGTGCTTCCATGAAGTTATCGGCAGTCTCGCAAAGCGAACTCAGGGTTTTGCAACTTCTCTCCTTGAGAAAGACCCTGAGTGCCGAAGAACAACCCTTCATGAATTGCTCACTTATCATCAGATCTCGCAGGCTAGCAAAGCTTGTCTCTGTTTTTCCCACTTCAAGCCAACGGTCAAAGTAGCCGGAAAGTCTTGCAGCATACTGCAGACCAGTCTCGTTTTCTTCGGGCTTCGCTTTACGAAATTTTCGCGGTAGCCTTCCGCAGTATAGCGGAACCTCTGAAGGAGTGCCGCTTTCAGCTGATCATAATTCAGCACAGCTGTTGGATCTAACCGGCCTATGACTGTTAGCGCTTCTCCTGTCATGCATAGGCTAAGCGAAAGAGCCCACTTTTCACGCGGCCACCCTTGACACGTGGCGACCCGTTCAAATCGCTGCAGGTACGCGTCGAGGTCGTCCCGAGCCTCATTGAAGGGCGGAATCAGTTTATGAGGACTGCAGACCTCTGTTATTCCTCTGGCGCTCATGCTGGATCCTCCTTGTTCGTCAGCCACCATTGGCTGTACCCTGCTTGCGCTCTCCTGAAGTCGAAGCTTCAGTTCGAGGATCTTCAGCTCTTGTTCCTGCACCTTCTGCTGCTGCTCTAACAGCTTCTGCTGCCTCTCAGCGTTTTCTTTCGCGATCTCGCGCTCCCTAGCACGCTCATCTCGAGCTTCAACGCACTCTCGCTCAACCCACTCCCTGAGCTCCTCATTCTCCAACCCTAGCTGTCGGCCAAGTGCAATAAATTTCTCCCTGTCCATGACAAAGGCTGCGTCTGAGTAATGGCTTTAGATTTTAATAAGCCATCCTGGCATAGGCTCGCCAAATGTGGTGGTTCTTGGGCCCTCAGACGCAGAAACCCAAGACAAGGACAAGGGAAACATCTATTGACTTCACACACAAAACAATCACAACACTGTGGCTATCTGTACAACACACTGGCTCCGTAATTCAGTCATACAGTCCTTATGTCTACGCGCCCGCGAGTAACCCAAGCGTCCTCACTGCTCGGAAGTCTAATTCCGTCGGGTGCCACTCACGCTCCCGCTGAAGACGATGGCGTCGACGACGCAACCTCGCCACGGGAAGGTTGCCAAGTGCACGGGAGCTCACGAGCAGACCATCAGCTGCTCGTGCTGGACCAGGCAGCCCCACGCTGCGGCCGACGCAACACCGAGGTCGCACCTTCAATTGGCGGTTGTGCCGGACCGGCTCCGACGTGGCACCGTGGCCACGATCTCGGTGACTGGTTGTGCTGGACCTGAGTCTGGACAGGATCAGCCGCTTGCCCTGGCCCGCACGCTCGTCCGCCACAGGAACAGCATGTCAGGCCTAGCCCGGAACCGCCACTTGCCTCAGGAACATGCCACGCTCGTCCCGGTTGGGTTGGTGACACCCGCTCGTTGGTTCGGTCCCCTGAGACCCAACGCCTAGCGCTCTTGCTAGCTGGCCGCGTTCTTCCTCTGCCTGTCGTTGTTCCGAAGCTCACGCGCTCACGTTCGTCTGACCCCGTGCACACTTTCGTCTTCGTCGGTTATTTTCCGCTGTCGGTTTCACTACCAGTTTCGATTTTGGTTGTGAGAAGCACTCTTACCACACATAGCCTTGCACTCGAGCCACTGAAAATTCGCCGCGACATCTCACTTTTATCACTATTTCACAAACTCATCCACACCAGCATGATGCCATCTGTTCACCTTAATCTAGCACATCGAACTTCGAGCAGACTACATAACACCTTTAGCTTATCACGCATGTACGGCAATACTAACGCTTTCAACCAGTCGGCTCTCCCACAAGCTATTCGTTTGTGGAATGATTTTCCAGATGATCTTGCGTCAGAACAAGACCACACAAAGTTCTATCATACTTTTAAAAAAATACTTATGCACCAAAAACTGTTCTATCGCGTCTTCGTAACCATCAGTGTTTATAGGGCTGTTGCCGATGTTTTTGCACTATTGTAGTTACTGTCATAATAGTTTTTTTTTTTTGTATGTCACCTTCACATACTGTAACTCACTTTTCTAGTATGTATTTTGCTTACATGTTCATAAGTTGAACTGCATTTTTTATTATATTCATTATTTGCCTATGTATGTGTAGATATCATGTATATATACTTTGCTAACATATTATCTGTACCGCCCCCCTTACACAATGCCCCTCGAGGGCTCTGTAAGGTACTGTAAATAAATAAATAAATAAATAAATAAATAAATAAGTAAAGCATATTTAATATTGGAAGGGGTCACTTTTAATTGGATGTTGAATGTGTATGTTTTTGGGAACTTTGAATAGTTTGGATACTAAGAATTTTCGTGTGAATCCAATCGAATCGCAAACACTATTCGATAAATACTTGAAATTTCGAAATACATGAAATTAAAACTAGGCATGTGCAAATCTTCATATTTTTGGGTTCAAAAACCTGTAATATTGAATAGTTGCAGGATCTGACTTTCAGTACCAAAATAACTTGCATTTTAAAGCTCTCTTGTACTTGGAGCCTATAAGTCAATATAAACAAGTTTTCAAACCTGAAAAGCTCTCAATAGATGTTAATTTGGGTAATATGTCCATTTATCTTTGAAGTGGGGCTTCACAGCAGTGCTTTTTTGTACAGGTGTATTCACGGTGCAGCACTCCTCTACTGCAGTGAAATTATTTTTAAAGAGGGTGTTACACGCAGACCAATATGCACCTATTTGTTCATTTCGAATACTCTAAAATGTTGAATACACTAAATTTAAATATAAACAATATCCTGATTTTTCTCATAAATCACTCCTTTCTCTTTACTTCGCTTTCGTACATTCTCATATCACTTATGGTATTGCTTTATAGGCTAATACTTATTAGTGTCATCTTTCACTCTTACAGCATTTACAAAATAGAGCTCTTCATGATATTATAGAGAAAACTGTTATGAGATCACAACTCGGATCACGCGCAATTGTTCACTGCCACCGCGGTAAACAATTCATTTTACCACACCGCATGAAATTGGAAAAACCTAGCACCAATGACACAGTGGAGCTCGAACCAGGGTCCACCGAGTGCGAGCCCAGTATTCTGCCACTGAGCCACACTGTGCTTGGGACTTGTTGGCAAACTTGTCTTAGGCAGGCTTGATGTAGGAAAAGCAATCGCGTTAATACGACTTGTAAAGCATTTTAAAACAGCGAAAGAACAACCAGTCGTCGCACAATGCAAATCACCTAACGAGTGAGTCATCCAATGCTCCAACCCATTACAAAAGCTTGTTTTTATTCAACGATTAACTGTGGCGCATACCCACTTCAGCCATAATTCCTCATTGTCATCAGCTACTGCACGAACAATTGACTCGAAATTCCCTGCAAATGTTTAGCGGATACGACGCTTCTTAGAAGAATGACGAAAAATAGTGTAGCAAATGCTGGCCTACTACTAAAAAAATGTTATTATTAATGGCTTAGTGGGTATCGAGCAAGTGTGCTTGCAGTAGTTACCTTATGAGTGTTTTGAAAGGCTCTGAAAGGCCGCTCTTCTAGCTTTCCCTGTGACTGTGCTGTGCCTTCCGCGCAGGCCTGGCATTTTTTTTTGTATTCGCAACAGTAACATCGCTCTCCTCCTCTATTGTAACATCATAACTGTTAGCAACTTATTTAGGTTTAATCTAATTATGTTTATGCATAAACAAATAACACATAAAGTTTCTACCAGTCTCATGAATATGAATTTTTGGTAAATACTAACACTACCAGGTTTGTAGCAAACAATGAATTTAGGGGACCCTAAAGCTTTGTTTTTAGGAGTTGAACGTGATAGCAACATGCTGTTCCTAGTGTGTACTTCAAACTCTTAGTGCATGAAACCTTGTCGAATTTACTGTGCACCCACTGCGTGGCCTTAAGGGACTAGGTGCAGTAGCGTGTGTGCCTTTTGTAGTGGGGTACCGGCTTTCAACCACGAAGCCATTATAATAATCACATATTCTGACACAAGATGAGCACTGTCCTGTGTCTTTCTCTGTCTTCCTTTTTTGCACTGTTTACCTCTTACAATGAATCGTCACCAAGTTGCCCAGTTTTCAATACTACTCTGTACTTAGCCGTATTGGCTCTACATGCTTTTTATGTTATTCTACAATAATTGTTCTTTGCATCGACCGCCTTTTCTTACACAATGCCTCTGCGATGCCTGTAAGGTATTTGTAAGTGAAAAATAAAATAATAAAGTTTGACGACTGTAATAATCATCCGAATATTCGGAAGTGCTCGAATATTGGCACAAACCTAGTAATAATGCAAGAGACTAACATAGTCTGATGTGCTACTGTATGTGCTACTTTCTTTGCCTATATCAATGTCTTGCTCGTCATTTCTGCTTTCTTTTTTATGCTCATGGCCAATGCTGAAATTTCGGAGTGCAATCATTCCTCTGCACACACTATTGAAGTTCTCGTACCTGCAAGTAGTTGTCATGCTCTGTAGCCTCATTATGCTCAAATCTCGGTAATATGAACAGAGATGTAATGGATTATAGGTGATAACAAAATAAATTAATAGTCTGGTCATGCATACAGTGTTAATAATATACATCTATATTGAATTTTCGAATATAACAGTTATTTTTGTGTCTTATCTGACTTTGTTATAGTTAGGTTATAGTGTATAACATGATTATAACAAAGTCGCATCAGACACAAAAATAATTTTATAATATTCCATAATTTGCTGTCTATGACACTTTACCTATGACAAGACTATTCTCCGCTTACTTTGTTATGACTAATAATCTGTATATCTGCATTTATAATTTGAGTATGTTTTAGATGTTCATGTTTTTGCTTCTGTGTGTTTCTGGACAGTGGTTCCCACAGAAACTGCTGCCGTTGAAATGTCCAGCATGTCCACACTGGAGCTGCTGTACTGCCAGCCAGTGATAGCGAGAGACATCTTCTGGAACTGGACTCGTGCTGGCGACGTGGCCGTCTACCCTTGTCCGGGAGGCTCTAAAGGTCATTTAAAATTTTTTATTGTGGTAGCAATTATATGGACACTCTCAGCTGGATTTTACCGCTGGCATCGCCATCACCAACCATACGTGTATATGTATCTATATATGTGAAAACGCCAGAAAGAAACATAATTGCAAATGAGTCATAGGAAAGAAGACAACCACCTAGGATTGTAGCACGAAGCCACAGCAAAATCTATATGGATTTTTCAGAAAGAAAACCCTCTCAGTTGCCGAAAAATTCGTCCTTGTTCGGGGTTTGAACCCGGTACAACGCCTATTCGGGGCGGTCGCTCTGCCAATTGAGCTAACCAGGAACCTAGCAAGTGACAGCACGGGGGCGAATAGGCGTTGGTGCCGGTTTCGCACTCTGGACCAGGATAAATTTTCCGGCAACTGAGAGGCTTTTCTTTTTGAGAAATCTGTATGGATTTCCTTGTGGCTTCATGCTTCAAACGAGTGATTGCCTTCTTTTTTTTCTTAAAAAAATAATAGCAGAAAAAGACTCCATCGCGCAGAATCGACCGTGGGACCCCAGAGACATGAGTGTGAGGCGTTAACCACTGAGCCACCGAGAAGCTCATCCTTCAACATTCAAATGGCAAGCTATTTATATCTACCATTTACCGCTGGTGGCCGGCATCTCGGGGGGTGGGGGGGAACTATCACGTTTTCATCATTAACAGCAAGATGGCACAATGAGCACGCGTTGCCACATCGTCACAAAGCAGCGGCGCGCGCTCTCATTTCCCACGTGTCCTTTGCCTTGTGGAGAGGAGGTAGGTTGACGCTCACTCGTGCATCCTTATGTCTTGGTGGGGAGGATCATACGTCTTGGCTGGCTTTGGACTTTCACCAGAACAATTCTGTTGTATTTACCGGGCACACTAAGGTCACTGCAATCGTTCCATAGTCTCAGTTTGTGAAAAGGGCACTTTTCAGACACAACTAAGTAGTAACTGAGACGTTTATTCGCATTCATCTGTACCTGTGAGTACGTTTCGTGCATCATTTGGCATTCTGCACGTGACCTTCCAAATTGTTGATATGGCGTTCATTGCTTCGCCTTTGCGGAAAAGCTGTGACTTTTTTTCTACTCTTAGACAATATGAAGTCTAGGGTTCGATGAAGACACGTCATGAATTTCGAGCGCTTGCTTTTCTTTCCATTTTCTGCGTGATGAAGTTTCTGTCTTGCCGCCATGTTTTCCGTCTCTCTCTTCTTCTCTCTCAATCACATTCTTTGCAACCACAGCTGAAATATTCATGACATTAATGGACGAGCGTGCCAGATTTGAACTTGGAATGTTCTAATTTTTCTAATGAGCTCGAGCTATTTTGAATACGAGTCAAGGACCACCAGGAAGGTCTGACCTTGAAACGGCCTGACGAAATTGATATGCAGTCGAGACTATGGTACCCATGTGGTCTTTCAATGGTGAACTGGCCTTCGGGGCATTTCTGGCCATGTCTCCTGGCATGCCTTACAGCAGCGCAGCACACATTCTTCTATGGCAGCATTCATTGCAGGCCACCACACGTAACTAAGACCTAATGCCTTCATCCTAACAATTCCCACTTGTCCTGCGTGCAAAGTTTCAAGTACATAGAGACGCAAATTTCCAGGCACCACCACCCTATCAACCCACAGCAGACAACTTTTGTGAATTAATAGCTAATGTTGCCATGAAATTCATTACGCAAATTAAGCGCTGGCATGGTCTCTCGGCTTCCATGTCCAGTTCAGCACACGGGAAAGCATACAATCTTTTTCAGCACTGGTGGCAATATCTGTAGCGTGGAGCAAGGGCTCCTGACTTCTGTTTAACAGCAAAACAACCTTTGCTGGCTCGGGACTATCCTGATGCGGTTGCAGTTGAGGCAATCTACTGAGGCCATTCATGTAAATCAGCTGCCACCCCCGTTAGTGGAGTAGAGAATACTGGTAGCCATTAAATAAAACAGACTAGTGCAGCAGGCAACAACATTTGTGGCATCTGGGGGTCGTAAACGAACAACTGGCGCCGTGGCTTATGATCCGTGTGGATTCGAAATGGTGGCCCTACACGTAGTCGTAAAACTTCTTCACATCTGCCTTAATAGCGAGTGCCTCCTTGTCGATGTGGGCATATTTTCTCTCGGAGGAGGACAAAGTTAAAAAATAAATGGCGATCGGAGCTTCGGTTTCATCTGCAATGGGTGGTTAAGCAAGGCTCCAATACCATACGGAAATGTGTCACAAGCGAGGATCATCAGTCTCCATTCGTCAAAGTGTGTGTAATTGATTAGATGCCAGGACTTGTTTCAAACCGACAAATGCATTCTGATTTTCTCGACCCCAGCCCCAAGTTGCATGCTTGTCCAGCAGGCGATGTAACGGCTCGTCAGTTCTTGCTTTGTGGGGTAGGCATGGTAAAGTTTAGAAACCCCAGAAAAGCCTGCAGTTCATCTTTATTCGTGGGACAAAGTGTGTTAATAATTGCCCACGTCTTGCTGCGCCTTGGATGGGCCCCTTCGGCATCGTTAAGGAATCTGAAAAATTCCATGCGATCCACCCCAAGATTACTCTTGTCTTTACTGACTTTCAGCCCAATTCATATTTGCAAGGTGTTTCAGCGCGCGAACAAAGGAAAAAAGGACAGGGTAGACAGAAAGAGCGCTGACTTCCAACTAACTTTATTTCGCAGAGTGGCAAGAATTTATACGTCTAAAAAGGAAGATTACAGAGCATGAATGTAAAAAACAAGCCCAATCTACACACCAGTAACAGCACGTGTGACAGGCCCTCTAATGCCTCAAAGCCCAGCCAGGTAATCACGTTCAGCCTGGGATAAAGCAACCGATGAAGTGCTTACGCATTTATCTCCTAGCACGTGTATTCTTTGTGCTTCGATAATTTCTCGGGTAAGTTGCTCCTTGTGCCTTGCCAATATAGAGCACTGGTCAAAGAGGGGGGTGCACCCACAATCTCGGCAATGAATGCCAAGATGCCCTTGTACCACATTGTGCACATTGTTTCGGTGTTCTCGCAGGCGGTCGTTTATGCACCTGCCGGTTTGGCCGACATAGACGCACCCACAAGTCAGTGGAATTAAGTATACGACTCCCACTGCGCATGGGACGTAGCATGTCCTGTGCGCGACAGAGCACGCGGCAGAAGTTGCGCGAGGTGTATTTACCCGTTTGCAAAGCTTCTGCAATTTTTCAGGTGCTGAAAAAACAACAAGAACGTTGGCGTCTCGAGCAATCTTTTTTAGCCTGTGTGAGACGTCGTGCACGTACGGTAGTACGACAGGCCGGCTCTTTTTGACGCTGTTGCACTTATCTGGTTTGTTGCCTCACTTCACGACAGTCACCAGCTTTTCCGCCACTGAAACGAGAACGTGTGCGGGGTAACCGACTTTGCTGAGGCGCTCCACTTGTAGAGCAAAGCTGCGGTGTACCATGTGGGGGCAAGACTTCTTTAAGGCGTTGGCAAGGCAGAGATTAGCAATGCCCCGCTTGACCAATTTTGAGTGAGCTGAGCCGAAAGGCAGAAGTGGCTTGCCGCTTCTTGGTTAATACATCCAGCAAACATGTCGGGGTTCTAGCAAAAGCTTCAAATCTAGAAATTTCAGGTTGTTATCAGTGGGTGATTCATACGTTAAAACTAATGGTTTCAGGCACTCTCGGAAAACAGTCAACACGTCAGAGGAAATGGTCTCAAAATTTTGACTGTCACATTTAAACAACACTAAATAATCAACAAAACAGCAGACTTTTAAAAACCACAGAGTCATCAAGTTTGTTTGACAAGACACGATCCTGATGTGCTAGAAATATGTCACTGAGAATGGGTGCCAAGCATCAACCAATACATACTCCACTTTTTTGTAAGTAGTTTTTGTCATCCCAAGATATAAAAGTGGCCTTCAAGTAGAAGCTGAGTAACTCTAATAAGCTGCTGTTATGAATTCCAGTGCGCGTTTGGAACGCTGATGATCCGAAGTTGTCTATGGATTCCTCTACACATTTTAGTAGTTGATCGTGCGACAAAGAGTAATACAAGTCCTTAATATCCACAGACATTGCCTGGAGTCCTGTGTTAGTTCGCCCAATAATGTCAATAACAGCGTCAGAGTTTTTTACCAAAAAAGGGTCGTCTATTAAATTTTTTAGCTTTTCTTGCAAGAAAAGTGCTACCGACTTTTGCCAGGTCCCCCTTTCTGTTACAATGACCCGCAAAGGGCAGTCAATTTTGTGCGTTTTCGCAGAAAAAAACAAGTCAAGGCTAAGCTTTTTGCAGCTATCTATTGCCTTTGAAAGCTTCTGAAGCCCCAGATCCCCGGCAAGAGTTTTCGCACGCTTCTTAAGCTTATTTAGACAAATTTTATCACTCTCGTTGAAAAGAGACTGCATTGCCTGTATGGCCTTCACCTTAAACATTGAATGAGGAAGAACCGCAAAACCACCCTCCTTGTCAGCCTGCAGAAGTGACAAGGAATGTGCCTTTAGGTACGCGACAGTGCCTCCTGTATTGACAACTTTGTTCGAGGACTTACATCTCGATAGCACCTGCACGCCTTGTGCAACACATCTATCACATACAGATTGTGGGTGCACCCCCCTCTTTGACCAGTGCTCTATATTGGCAAGGCACAAGGAGCAACTTACCCGAGAAATTATCGAAGCAGAAAGAATACACGGGCTAGGAGATAAATGCGTAAGCACTTCATCGGTTGCTTTATCCCAGGCTGAACGTGATTACCTGGCTGGGCTTTGAGGCATTAGAGGACCTGTCACACGTGCTGTTACTGGTGTGTAGATTGGGCTTGTTTTTTACATTCATGCTCTGTAATCTTCCTTTTTAGACGTATAAATTCTTGCCACTCTGCGAAATAAAGTTAGTTGGAAGTCAGCGCTCTTTCTGTCTACCCTGTCCTTTTTTCCTTTGTTCGCGCGCTGAAACACCTTGCAAATATGAATACGCACCAACTAGCCCAAGCTTCCACTCTTGTGAGTTTCAGCCCAACTTCTTGAAATCAGTTGAAGACATTTCAGAGGTGGTGAGCCAGCTCTTTGTGTCAAAAAGCCGCAGTGATGATGTCATCAAAATGCAGAACGATGCCTGGTATGTCATGCAACATGGTTTCTATAAATTTTTATAAACGCCTGGTGTGACACACAGCCCGAACTGCAGCCTTTGAAAACATAATTTCCCCTAGTGCGTCGCTATGATTTGTTCGTCTGCAGCTTCCTCCGTCACTGGCAGTGACTGGCATAGCTTGGCAAAACTTGTGGAGCTCACTCAGTCTCACTCATGAAATACATTTTGAGCTTTGGACTCACTCGAACTCAGACTCACAAAAACTTTCCTGAGCCAGATTCACTTGGACTCGTACTACCAAAAATTTTCTTCTACCGGACTCTTTCGAACTCAAACTCACCAAAACATTACTCACCCGGACTCACTCAGACTCATGGCTCAATCTGAGTTTGAGGGAATGGTATCCCCTGTAGGGGGCATTTTCATCTCCTGGAGACAAAATACTCGAGACGTTTCAAGTACATAGTCGGTCGGTCGGTCACACCGAGCGAGCGAGCGAGCGAGCGAGCCCTTTAAGTTGCAGATGTACTGACATCTGCAACCTAAAGGGCTCTTACTCCTATGAACAACATTGAAAAGGCACTCAGTGAACTTGTTCCTGTGTTGGTGTTCATTTGTATAAGTATCATGCACCAACCAGCGCAAACCAAAGTATTGCTGATTTCATGTTTTCCAAAATCTGCTTTTGTGCCATTCATGTAGCAATTAAACTACTCCCGTCCAAAGTGTATAGTACCATAATGAAAATCAAGAGCTCATCATGTCTCACAGGTGATGCCAGGTGGCAGTGTGGTGTGAATCCTGTCAAGTGGTTGTCCGATAGGCCAGACTTGAGCGGCTGCAATTCTTTTTGGGTCGGAGACCTGGAACAGAGGGTGAGAAATAACCTTCAATGTTCTAATTAGGCTTGTGCAAATCGAGTGCTTCAGATATTCAAATGAATGTGACAGTATTTGAGTTTGTTTTGATGTGAATTTGAGTAATTGGAAACTTCCTGAGGTATTCGAAATAAACAAATATTAATCTGCATGTAACCTCCTGTGAAGCTGGATTCACTAGAATAGAGGGGCGATAGACCGTAAATACACCTATTCAAAGGGATCCCGCACTGCCACAAGCTCCACTTCAAGGCTAAACGAGTATATTGCCCTCACATCGATTCATCAATTCTTTATGCTGAAAAGCTTTTTATGCTGGCGTATCTGCCCAGAGTATAGTAAATTTAACTAATTTTAGAGGCTATCACTTGCATTCTTTTAAAAGTCAAATCCTGCTACTATTCAAAGTTGCTTCCCCTTTTTTTGAACTATGAAGAATGACATCTGTGCATGCCTTCTTTCAATTGAAGGAATATTGTGCAAGTCAGTTGGGTCATGACAAATATGCCCATTTTTTTATATAATATGTGATTTATATTTGTGAGGCCCGAGATACATTTTTTTTATATTTATCAAATTAACACATCACTTTGGACAAATGAGGCCACCCTATTATGATAAAAATGTTTAATTGATGTACGACACTTGTTATCCATATAAAAACGTGCAAAATATTGCACATTAAGACCGAATGACAACAAACTCTATACGCAGGGAATACTAGAAAGGAACAAGAAAATGTTAACTAATGGTATACAAACAGTTACAGCTCTTCTTAAAAACTGTTTTAGAGGACCCCTGACAGTGAAAAATTTGTTTGTGACTTTTTTACAGTATATTGGAGGTTTGCATTTGTATCTTGATAAGTAATAGTAAAGGCTCTAATGCAGCCTATAATTAATGCTAATGTTAACTTGAAACGATATTGCATCAATTTGAAACGCTTACCTAAATATTGTTAAAAAACAAACGCCCCACAATGGGGGACCGCCTGAGACAATGTGCGTTCACACTTCGGTGACGCTAAACGCGCTGCTTTGAAATTGCGGGACTTGTGATTGGTCAAGAATATGGATGCTTTTAGTGTGTCCCCCCTCAAAAAAGAATTTCTGGCGTCAAGCAAAAACCGTCAACAGAGTTAGAGAGGGGATCAACAATAGTCTTCGCCAGGTGCCAGTCAGGGTATCGTGTGCACCTCGCAAATATTCTTTGATGGCGACAATACTCGCCTTACTCGTGAAACGTCACATGAGATGTCTGTCTACTTCAAACCTGAAATTTGGGGACAGTAAGATTGGGTGCGTTGATACAACATGATATAGAGGGCTTAGCAGCACATATGATAGGAGAGTATAGAGGAGACGAGACAGAGCGATGAACTGCCAACTATTTAATCTCTTCTATCCCCTCTTGTCATAGTGCTACTAAGCACTCTTGATCTGAAATATAAACTGGGGCTGGTAACTCAGATGAGCATTCACCCTTATTTTAAAACCAAATTAAAATATCTTACACGCAACGCTTGTCACTAATAATCGGTCAGAAGTGCCCTACATGTAGAACTGTCAAACAACAGAAGCATCTCGAGTTTCGAAATTGGGTTTCAGGGGTCCTTTAAGCAGTTTCATGCTAAATATGAAACAGTTTCGTGAAGCAGCGATATGAAGGAAACTATAAATGCTGCTGAAATAATAATAGTATCCTTTTAGAAGAAAATTTGCATCAACATAACATATATGCAGGCTGTAGCACATATATGGCGGAATGAAAAAAAAAATAACTCGCTTTATAGCTATGTCAACTGGAAACCTGGATGCCAGCTTATGCGACAAGTACATCTACTAGTACACGCTCGCACCTCCACGCCGGCAGCACTCACTCCCAGTGTGCAATACAGTGCACATTCACTGAAGTCATAAAAAAGTTACACACTTGCCTCCAGAGCAACTTTGCTCAATATTACCTTTGCACATTCCTGAATCATTCTACCACAATACCAAGAATTTTTAGTGAAGTGGTAAATAAATAAGGGCAACTTAATTGATTGCGTGGGGTAAAACATGTTCAACAGAAGGAATGCCACGTTTGCATCGCTGGAAATATCTTTCTCATTCTTGGTCAGATGGCAGCACATGGCTCTGCAATACATTTCACAAGAGGGCTTTGCAAATTTAGCTGTTGCAGTTGACGCTAAGAGTATATTGCACTGTGGGTCCCGGGATGATATACTTTCCGGGATTGAATAAGCGGGGTTACTGTGAAATCAAAGGTGAACCTATAATGAACAGTGTTGCAGGACATGACAATAATTACAACAAAATGCAACATAACAAAATTAACAATGCAATCAATAATTCAAGAATACACAAAAGAGCTGATTACAGCATCTTAATCAAAAGAAAGCGCAACATTTCATAATAGAAAAATGCTTGGAAGATTAACGGTAGAAAAAGTTATTACATCACTATACAGTCACTGATATAAGAGACAAATGGGTATAAAATATACCAATGTGCCTACAGTAAAATACGGGTTTATAGGAAAATGCATACAAGGCGCACTGCTTATAAAGACTACATAAAAGACAATTGCTGCACAAAGCATGCCTCTTATAAAGGGGTTCAACTGTATTAATAATATGTATGTCGAGTTTGTGCTGAAACGTGCTGGGGTTACTATCAGAGGGGATAGCACCGGTAAGATTATTCCATATGCATATGGCTTGCGGTAGTGCTGATGTGTTCAATGCTTTTGTGTTACTAAAGTTTAAAAGGCTATCACGACCAGCAATGTCAAATGCTGCCATGCTCACTGCCAACTGCTTGTAGCTATGACTTCAGTCACCACAAATCTGAAAATTGCGATTAGGATTTTCTAAAGGTGCTTTCCACATGAACTCACTGAAACCTACTCTAACCGACAAATCATCTATAAACTTATTTACAAGTGCCTTTCAAAATGAATTACTTGCTTCACAAGGAGCAGTACCGACATTGCAAAATCTATAAACCTGCTACGCTATGAGTCTGTGTCACGTTACTAATGCATAGTTTTAATAATGTGTTCTTCTTACAGTAATGTATACTTGCTGGCCTTAAGCCATGTTACAAATGTATGCCTTATCTCTGATGCAGTTGTTTTCAGTGATAATTACGTGTATGATGTTGTTGTTACTAACATTGTTTTATTGTCGTGTTATTCTAATGCTGTTGTGTAATGTAGTATTTTATGTGTTATTTTGTCACCTTGACTTTTAATGTGATTTTAACCGTGTATGATTATCTGTAAACCTAGATTATTTTTTATGTGCCTTCCCTGCTTAATCTCTCATGATATTCACATTGCTGAATTAAAATGAAACAAGTAAACATTTTGTGATCAAACACTACAGGACCCATAAGCCTTCTGTTGCACTGCAGCAATCAGGTACCATAAGAATTGGCAGCCAGTCTCTTTGAATAGTTCTCATGCTTGTGTTCTTTACTTGTGTCTCAGATTTCGGGTGGCACTTCTGTGGTGAATCTGGGCAGTGAGCTCTCACAGAAGACACGTGTCAAGTCACTGTACGGCGGAGACTTGCTGCACATGACCAGCATAGTGCAGCAGCTGCTCTCCAAGATGGAAGACGAGCTGGACCAGGCATCAGATAGCTACCAGCGACAGCAAGTCGTTGAAGAGCTCATGAATGTAAGGCTTCAATTTCACAGACGGTTACGATACTGCCCAATGACTTGGAAGGAAAAAATGTTTTTTTTTCCTTCCAAGCAGGAATCTACTTGCCCAGGACCAAGTTTTATTGAAGCCAATAATACTGAGTGCAGCTTCGTGTTGGGCAAACTAACTATGTTTGATGTTTTGGATTTCCACAAGATATGCTTTTTTTTTTTTTTTTATTGGCGCTAGTATGCCTACGGCATCAGTTAAATAAAAAGGAAAAGTTTTGTTTCCTGTATGAAGGCCAGGAGTTGTCGATGCACAAGATATGCCATAAATCGTAATTAGTAGGACAGTACTCGCTGCATATCTTTGAGGTGTCACGGGCACTTGGTTAATCCTGCATGTGGCTGATGGTATGGTATGGAAAAGCTTCAGTTTTTCAGAGCCTGAACAAGCGTGTAGCTGATGACGATGAAGAATTATGACTGAGTATTTTGCACTGAGTGGGATGCATTAAACCGTACGCAGATTGATTGCACAGCCAGCATTGTGTGATGACCAGCAGTTCTTTTACTGTTACACCAGGTTATGTTGCATAGGTTAACACGATTCCTTAACAAACATGATGCCTGTGTGAGGTCCCCTTGCAAATGTTCTTCAAGCACTGGCGTGGCTTTGTGTTCGAATACTCGAGTGCCATGCAGAGGAATCGGGCTCAAATCTCATTCAATTATGGTTTTTTTTTTTCTCATTTTATTTTTCATGTCTATCAGTTACGCCACCAATAGCAACTACGACACTGCTCAGCAGAGGAACGGGTGCCTAAAAGCTGCACTCTAAAAACAAGCATTCTTTGCCATTCCTTGCCCAACAAAAAATGTTGTAAATAATTATTGTTTATTACGCCACCAATAGCAACTACGACACTGCTCAGCAGAGGAACGGGTGCCTAAAAGCTGCACTCTAAAAACAAGCATTCTTTGCCATTCCTTGCCCAACAAAAAATGTTGTACATAATTATTGTTTAATTGAGTAGGTAGTCTTGTTAAACCTGCCTATAACAAACTTTCATACAAGGAATTCCTTGATATTACGAAGTTATTATGTTTGCCGTTGTTACTCCATAGAAGCGCATGTATTTGAGACTTCTGTGTTACAGTAACAATAGGAGACACCTTTGACATAATTGAGTTTTAGCCCCCAACAATCTATAGATTTTCAAATTTTTTGCAGTTGTCCCGCTGACAAAAACGCACTAAGTGGCAGTGTCGCACAAGGTGTGCTTGAAGTTTCAGGAACGGCGAGAGAGAGCGCTTGTTAGTGTGCATGGGTGTGCTAGAGGCAAGCCAATATTTTTTATAGGTAGCTTTGGGGGGGGGGCTAGTGCCCCTTGAGCTGGCACTGCTGCCGCTCTTGCCATTTTAGACACATGTGCCCTCTTGCTCCCTTGAAACCGAAAACAAAACAAAACAAAAAAACAATATGACTTTTGTTGTGGCAGTGCCGCTCTGCAGTTGCTGAAGAAATCTCTAAACTGCACTTTGTTGAAGTGACACCAGGTGATGCCACTCAAAAAAGTCTCGCTCCGTGTCATTATGCCAGTTACATTTCAAGTTCACGTTTCATATTCAGATTACTTCCAGGTCAACACACAAGAACACTCCAGACATCGCCATAATATGTATATACCACCCCTAGTCCCACGTAACGATTGCTTTAAGTTCAGTTACTTTCCGCGTGCTATTGAAGATTGGAATATGCTGCCAGAGTCTATAATTGGTTGTTCCTCGCTTACATCATTTGAACAGAATCTAAAACGTTTATTTTCCGAATAACAGTGACATATGTTTTTTTTTGTTTTTTTTTTTTGGCGTGTGTGTGTACTTTTTGTTGGTTGCATGATTCTGCAGTAGTTGTCTTTCAAATCTTCAGCGCGGTGCAAAAGTGCCGCCTCAAATGCGTCATGTGCTGTTCTGCGCGTATGTATTGCATCGCATATGTGTTCCATTTATGTATGTTATGTATAACTTCGAGTAGCTGGTCACAATAATACCGAGAAATTATCTCGAGACCTGTACGGTACTTCTTTTTTGCAAATAATTGTTTGTACTTCCACCCTGTAACGGCCCACTTCTGGGCTAACAGTATAAATAAATGAAATGAAATGAAATATAGAGCACTTTTCCTAATTCAGTTAAACTTCGTTATAACGAAATTGGAGGGCCACCACGATTCACTCGTTATAACCAATATTTCATTATAGCCACAGGGAGTATTTACTGCAAATATTATGCACTGTACTTACACAAAACAAATAACGGGCGAAATAGCATCTCGCCTCACGGTGGTACGCAACAAAGTAACCACATTCCACAAAGAAAAAGGGAATGGCAAGCACTTATTTTATTGCACTTCAAACAGGCTTAGCTGCAAAGAAATTCGTAATCAAACGCTAGTGCATCTTCCTAATGCGAATGATGGCTCGCTCAGCTGTGGCCGCAATGTTCAAGCCATCTTCTCCGCCCTCGTGATCTAGTGCCTCCAATGTTGCCGGCACGTTGGTTGCCCGCACGGCGATCTCCCCTGCGTTGGCAGAGTGATCGCCGCTGGTCTCGTATAGATGGTTGACAGCGCGCACGATTTCATCATCGGGGAGCTGTTCCATTGCCACCACTTCGGAGTCCGCACTCACATAGTTTCAGAATGACTCGCTGTCGGGCACAACACCGGCTTCACGAAGTGCCATCCATGATGCTGAGACTTCGTCCGATGTGGCGAAACCATCCGCCGCAGCGGGCTCGTCTAATGATGGCTCATCGCAGGCATCTGGTGCGGCAGCAAATCAAGCGTGTCGAAAGAAACTTGCAATCGTGGTCGCCGTCACACTAATCCACGCCGCTCGAAGCATTTCACAAGTCAACATCGGTGTCCCGCTTCAACCTAATGTTGAGCAGAAACCTGTCAATCACGCACTTGCGGTAACCTGCCTTCAGCGACATAATCACGCCTTGGTCAAGCGGCTGTATTTTAGGGGCGAAGCTCCTTATAGCGGTACCCGTTCGTGCCTCGTAGCTGTTGTAGTAGTGTGTAACAAGTATAACATTTTGACCTCCAGGGTAGTGCCGGTGAGAGATTTCTTCTGTGCGTTGAACAATAGAAGATAGAGCTCAATGTATATGCCAATGGCTGCTAAGGGGGAATGAGAGACAGGAGAATTCAGCTTTTAGTTGACGCGCACTCTGCGAATTTTTTTACATGAAACGGGAACAACATATGTGGCCTTAGGACTCCCATAAGAGGAGTCAGATGCATTGCTTTCGCTGTCACACAATGACACCTGAGCACATGTTGTCAGTTTTCGTTGTTTTGCATAGGGCCTGTGTGCATCATATCTGTTTCCACTTGAATGTAGCAGCTTGTGATGCACCATTTTCATTATGAAAGCGCTTGACAAAGGAAAGTAATTTTGCACACTAAATACAGCTGCATCATATCTTCTTTGTGTGCCCGAGGCTTGTGATCATGTGTAGGGTAAACAAAGACGTTCAACTGCATGTCCTTCAGGAAAAGTTACTGCTGGCTGAAAATAAGAAAGTATCGAAACCTCAAAAATAAGCTTGCAGACTTTCATAAGCAACTTGGCATATATTGGCTTTGTGAAAGTAGAGGTATCCAATGGAGGCATATCTAAAAGCAATAGCAAAGCCAGTAAAACAGCTTTTCTGAAGGTGAACAGCAATAAGAATAAATTTTTCATCCTTTGTAAAAAATTGTGCTTGTCTCTTCCTTTTTATCTTTTTCTAATTGTCAAAATAGGGTCGTGCTACAGTTTTATTGTTAAAATGTGGTAGCAATTTATTCGTGAGCATATATATATGAACTCTTGAAATCAAGTACTAGTTAGATAAGTCTCTACTTGAAAGTATAGTTTTTATCAAGCTGAGCTTTTTCTTGTTTTTTTCCTCCTCATTATAAGCATTCAGTGTTTTCAAGCAACATATTTGGTCGTACTTGACACGTTAGCATTTGGTTTTGGGGGGCACTCCTGATAAGACAAACTCCTAATAAGTTCGTTTTAAAGAAAGTATAATGTCGAATTGAATTTGTATATGAACATAAAGAAAAACGATCATACTTTTCATTACCAAAGTAACCTGCACAATATCTTTAAAGAATTTAAAGAAGGGATGGGCAAAGGTCATTCTCTTTGGTTCAAAGGAAGTTTGAGAAGCTTTGAATAGTTGCAGGATTTGTCTTTTGATACAATGCAAGTGATAACCTGTAAACTAGTTGCATTTCAAAATTTACTATACCTAGAGCATATAAGCCGGTGTAACAAGCTTTTTTTTATAGGCTGTTTATATAAACAAATAAACAGTTCATGCAAACATACTGGAAGAAATCTACAGCAGATTTATAGCCATCATAGTTCATAAAGAAAGGGATAGCATACCAATTTAGAAGAGTGTAAGGCAGGAAGACAATCTGTCTAGTGCTATTCGTGTGTTTACTGGAAAGTTTAAGGCGATTGGAAAGAGTTGGGAAGGCGCTGCGGTCAACGAGGTGAATGGACGCTCTTCACGTTGGCTCCGTTCTCATAGAATGATTTCGCAGCGAATACAGCTAGGCACCGCTCGGATTTATATACCATTCGATTCTTCTCGTCCCCGAGAATCCAAAGAGACCATATTCTAAGGTGGGTGATCATTTTTCGAGATTTTAGAACCGAAAACCAGCCCCCACCAAGCAGCGTCTACTATTCCTACGACCGGCGCTCCTCGTCGACTGGGGCGGCCTCACGATAGCCAGGCCTCGGCGTTCGCGCCATACAGGCCGTAATCATCAATAATGGAGGTATCGCAGCAGAATGAAGACGCCACCCAACGGGAAGACGAAGACGTCACTCAACGAGAAGATGACACAGGCAACGAGTCGACAGAAGTTCGAAACAGAAAACGTCCGAAGAAAGGTAGGCAGGAACGCCGTGGTAGCCTTAGCCCTACCCGAACGCCTAGAATGCGCGGTGCAAA